GTAAGTACCCATTTTGTGTATATGTGTGTGTAAAGGGAGGTGGAACGACGGAGTTAAAGAGTTGGTGAAATAAGAGGTCCTTGCCATGGTCACCTGTTCTTCAGTGATCACCTCTGTTGTATTGTACCTTATCTACCCAACTACAACTTGACCCTTATAAGCTGGTCACGGGGAGATAGGTGAGGACTCTCGTTAGACCTAACCTATGATTGGGAGTTGTTACAGTGATTAGGCACCTGCATTTAATCCGATTCGAAGATTGGTTTTAGGATAACTGTTAAGACAATGTTGTCGGCGAATTTGTCTTGTCTATCTTGCCTGTGAGCTGTGTCACTAGATCATAGAGGTGTGGGCGTAGGTGCTGTGTGGGTGTACCGGACACACACACACACACACACACGCGCGCGCGCTCGCAAATGGGAGCATGATATTACCAGAAAGAGAAACATGAGAGCATTGCACTACCAGAGAGAGAGAGAGAGAGAGAGAGAGAGAGAGAGACGCGCCCTGGGAGAAATAGATACATGGTCCAACTGTGCCCAGATGCCATCAATAATCCCGGCACGTCAGGTCGATGACAGTGAGCCTAGACCATTTTTTAGAGTGTTAAAGATAATGCTGGGTGAGGGATGGCGGCCTCTCCATGACCTCCTCAACACTACACTGTCTTTCTCAGCCGTGGATTAGACGACGCCCAGTGCCGTCTCGTCACTGATTTTTTAGTTTAACAAATTTATTGGCAAAGCTCAAAGCTTGTTGTACAGTTTGAAAAATTCTGAGTAATTCAGTCAGGCCTTGACACTGAGGGTGGTATCACTTCTCACTGCCACGCAGGACAGAGGTTCGTACACAAAGAAATGCATCATATTCATTGACACTATATATAGGTCAGATTCATGTGGGTAATGTCACTGTTCGCTGCCAGGCAGGACAGAGGTTCATATACATTGGACGTCATATTCTAATTGAAGACTAATCAGTGTGGGCTAGCAAATTTGGGATAAACAGCAAGAATGTCCTCAAGCACCCCCGATTCAATGTAGTAATTACAAAGTTCAAGATACAATAAGTCAGGTGGCCTGAAGTCCTTGACAGTGTCACATTCAATAATATAGTGTTCAAGTGTATGTAAATAAACAATTGTCTTCTTCACTTGATATTCTAATTCTGTTTTCTCTTTTTTCATGGAGGAAATTCTTTCTTTTTTTGGGTGGGGGTATTTAAATGGTGAAAATGAAAGGAGAATTGATACCTTAACCTAAAGACGAATATAAGTCAATTTAATACAAGTCTCAACAGAATTAATTACTCCTTTAACTCAACACATTAACACAATATTAACTCAATGACTAAGACTAATAAAAACAAAATCGATCATTATTGCTGTTTTTTAAAGGCCATTTTCCATTAACCTTTAGCCTAAAGTTTATGTTCAAGTGCGAGACATGTTGATAATTTTTACTCCTTTTTTATTCATATGTAATAATAATCTCACGACTAATTTTTATTTAATTTGGGCTCACTGGGCGTCTCACAGTTTTTTGGAGAATTGTGTAGTGCGTGTGTGTGTGTGTGCGTGCGTGCGTGCGTGCGTGCGTGCGTGCGTGCGTGCGTGCGTGTGTGCGTGTGTGTGTGTGTCTTTGTGTGTGTGTAGGAGGAATAACCAACACCACCACATCATTATGGCGAAATTCCCACGACTACAATAACCATGACTCAAATTCTCCCATGCTTAAATTTCTCATGACAAATTCTGGTGTCCTGGAGGCCAGATGCATTACACTAATACTCGCGAGGACATTTTTCCCAACAAAGTGTAATAAAGGAAAGTGGTTAACTGGACACTACTCAACCCAAGTGTCAAACAGCGTCGGGAGTGCCCTTATTTTTTTTCATAGCTTTGACCTTGACCCTTACGTTTGAATTCATCCTTTGGTATTTTACTTTTTAACTTAACCATGACTTAACCATTAACGTTGGGGTGACCTTGAACCTTTGACCTATCGATCCTAAACTCTTAATAGGTGTGTGTGTGTGTGTGTGTGTGTGTGTGTGTGTGTGTGTACGTCAATTATATACACGGTGCAGTCAGACAGTCAGACAGACCGTTCTATTCAAGGCAATCCGTCGACGGGAGTAGGTAGAAATATGAGCCAGTATAGAATAGGACCATCTGATAATGCACCACAGCACAGCATAGCACAACACAGCACAGCATAGCACAACACAGCACAGCATAGCACAACACATCACAGCATAGCACAACACATCACAATGCAACGCAACGCAACACATTGTAACATTATCAGGAGCGAGTTTCCCCGTACAGAAAATCAATAATAAACAGAAAAAAAATAAAATAAAAATAAATAAATAAAAATGTGTAACCAAAACAAACATTTCCTCGAACCTGTGTTTTCATAGTGAGGAAAATTGGAAGACAAACATCGTCAGTTAGCATGTGTGTGTGTGTGGGGGGGAGGTGTCCGTGATCAGGGCCAGTGGGGAGGTAGTGAGTGTCCGTGATCAGGGCCAGAGGAGGAGGAGGAGTAGTGTCCGTGACCAGAGAATACCTCACCCTCCCTCCCTCCCGTGTCAACAGCCATCATGGATTTTCTGACTCCACTCTATTTATTTTATTGTATTTATTCATATTTATTGTTATTTATTTATTTTTTTTGTTCTTGTGTAAACGTTTGACTTGTTGGGGAATGTGGTGAGTCCTCTGAGTACGATAAATTGTCCCCTGAGTGCGATTATTTGGGTACAATGATATGACCCCTTGGTGTACGATGATTTGACCCCTTGAGTACGGTGATTTGACCCCATGAGTCCGATGTGTTGACCCTTTGAGTATGATGACTAAACCCATTGAATGCGATGACGACCTCTTGAGTTCGATGACTTAACCCCTTGAGTACAATGATATGACCCCTTGAGTATAATGATATGACCCCTTGAGTACGATGACAGCCCATTGAATACGCTGACTTGACCCCTTGAGTACGATGACAGCCCATTGAATACGCTGACTTGACCCCTTGAGTAACGATGACTTGACCTCTTGAGTACAATGATATGACGTCTTGAGTGCGATGACTTAACCCCTTGAGTACAATCTTATTGTACTCAAGAGTATAGATCATTGTACTCAAAGGAATTCAGTCGTCAATTTCAATCGTCATACTCAAGGGGTTATTAAGAAAACTTTGACCTCTTGACCACACACACATACAGTACATGAAAACAAGCAATACTTCTTCTTAATTTCTCCTTCACCTCCTTTATTCCTTTCTGCTTCACTTCCCCCTTCGTCTTGTTAGTTCTTCGGCTTTTTTTTTTATCCTTTTTATTTTTTATTTATATTTTTGTGGCGATGATAATAAATTTGCCTATGAAACAATTTATATATAATGCAAACTCGCCCCCTCATTGTATGTGATAATTAGATGCATTATTCGATAGACTGTGAAATAGTGACTGAAACAATGACAGTGTAACAATGACAGTGTAACAATGACATTTAGGCAAGGGCAGTGTAACAATGACAGTTAGGCAAGGGCAGCGTAACAATGACAGTGAAACAATAACAGTGAAATAATGACCGAGACAAGGAGCAGTGTAACAATGACAGTGTAACAATGACAGTTAGGGAAGGGTAGCGTAACAATGGCAGTGAGATAAATGGCAGGGGAACTAATACTGACACAATAACAGGTCAAACTAGTTGAATTTAAGCTCAAAAAGAAAGAGAAAACACACACACACACACACACACACACACACACACACACACACGCACACACACACACAGACACACACACACACACACACACACACACACACACACACACACCAAAGAAAATCCCCCAAAAATAATAATGTAATGGGAAAAATTCCACTTCACTCTCTACACCTTAACTAGATACTTCCACTTAACACGGACAAAAATTTCGTTACAGATTCTTTCCAAAGATTTTTTATTTTGTTTCCGCGTTAATTTTGTTCCATAAACTGGTGTTAAGTGAATGTATCAAATTAAGGTACAGTCGTAGTGTAGTTTGTCTGTTTAGATTTGGTTTTATTTCGTTTTTCTAATTTTGTGTTTTTTTTTAACTTTGTTCACGTCGACCAACTTCAGTGACTGTGTGTGTGTGTGTGTGTGTGTGTGTGTGTGTGTGTGTGTGTGTGTGTGTGTGTGTGTGTTCTATTACATGTACGAGTCTTTGTTGACAGTCTAGAGTTTTATCTTCCTAGGCAGGTAAATAGGAGTCAAGTCAGTCAGTCTGTGTATTAGTCAGTCAGTTATTCAGTCAGTCAGTCGATCAGTCAGTTAATCAGCCAGTCAGTCGATCAGTCAGTTAATCAGCTAGTTAGTCCGCCAGGCAGATATTCAGGCAATCAGTCAACTCCAGGCGAATTCCGACCACGTCTGTGTGCGAACGTAAACACGAATCTTATTTTCCATTCTCCGCAGTTTTCTTTGTACCTTCTTTCTTCTCTATCCCCCATCCTCCTCCTCCTCCTCCTCCTCCTCCTCCCTCCTCCTCCTCCTCCACCCCCTGATATCTTCTCCTTTTTCCACTCGTATTCTCTCCTCCCTCGTCCTCCTCCTCCACCTTCTCCTCCACAGATATCCTCCTCTCCTCCTCCTCCTCCTCCTCCTCTTCCATTTATGTCTTCTACCGCCTCTACGCCTCTTTCTCCTCTCACCTGACCTCCCCTCCCTCCCATCCCATTTACTAACATGTTAAGAGCCAAACACAGCTCTTATTGTCAGTTATGAACCCCTGAGGTGACGTGATGCCCCTCCCCCTACCCTCCTCCTTCCCTCCTCCCCCACACCCCATCCTTCCCTCCTCCCCTACCTCGTCATTTCCTCCGCTTACACCCTATTCCTTCCCTCCTCCCCCACACCCCATCCTTCCCTCCTATTCCACACTCCATCGTTCCCTTCTTCTTCTTCTACCTCATCCTTCCCTCCTACCTACACCCATCCT